CAACGTAATAATTGGCAGCATACGGTAGCAATCCAGGTACGAGGCCGGCTAAATGGATGGGAAGGCATAATAGTCACCAGTATGATGACGCGTCAGGATACACTGATGCCTTCATCACAAAAAAAAAGTTTCAACAGAGTTATGGTTTTCTTTCTGAGCTCCACCCTCACGATTATGGCGTATGGCCTGTGGAGGGATCGGGTTACGAATTTATATGAAAACTGTGAGGGCACTACGCCAACCGAGTGCATCTTCTTGGTTTATTTGGCGACACAATCCTCCTCCTTCAACGGACCCTAATCATTTTCAGCATTATATCTTGCCCTTACATCTTGCCTGTTCCAACAATTTTTTCGGTCCTCAGGTTCTGGTGGGGGTGGTTATGAATTTATGAGAAGGTGGTTTGCCCTTCTTGAGAACACTTCTGTCAGCAGCAATGTATCTTCCTCTGATTTGTTGAGCCATTACTGAAAGTCACCCTATTTTTCTCGGTGTCTGGGTTTTTATGAAGACGATGTGAGAAGTTTTTAACTTGACGCCGCCCCTGCCGGTGCATGCCCGTGAGCCAGCTTCATAAGCATGCATGTTCTCTCTCGATTTCGCCCTACACCCTAAGTCAAACTCTCTCAAGCTTGGTCAATTCTCTCCTGATGATTCTTCAGTTTATACTGAATTTTGTGAGGTAAAGGTAGTGACATGGAAAACCTAGCTCTATTCTAGACTACCTTCTTATAATATATGTATAGGGTGTGACTTGGTGGGTAGGTTAATGGAGTAGAGTAAGTAGTGTGGAGTGAAGTGAGAATTGTGAAGTGGATACTTCAGAGCTGTGATTTCGGTCTGTACTGGCATCGCGCTATGCACTTATTGCATATAAAACACATTGAATGAATTGAATATTTAATTCGTGAATGAATGAATTCTCAGCCTACCTTTTTGCACTAGGTTGTCACCCCCACCGACCGGCGCTCCTCCCCTCCTCAAGCTCAGGTGGAAACTATATTCTTCCGCTAAAACCACTCGAAACATAGGTAAGGAAACGGCCACCCCTCCTTCTCTGCACTGTAGCCTTCAGTGTTGGATAGAAGCGATGTCCCATCCCCTCCTCCTCCCCTCTCCTCTGTATGTTTAATGGAAATTCGGGGAAGAAAGGCATATGTTGCTAGAACCTAAAGTTGCCGCGACACACGCGCAAAGTTCGGTATTTCTCGATATTAATAGAAGCTACGAGTTTGTGCCAAGAAGACAGGGAGACAGGCTTGATCATATCATTAGCTGATGTACTGAAATTAAACTTCAGTAGTGATTTTTTCCAAGCAGACGTTTTCGGTCATGACTCCGAGTAGTTGAAATGCTTTGTGAAATTGATTGTTGAGAAATCGATCATTTTTTCAGCGTTGCTTGTGGTGTCGACTATCATGCTCCAACTTCATGTGAAACAATCAAGCAGTGGTTGCTTAAATGCGCTGACGACAGCGAGACTGCCAATTATATCAGGTAATTTTCCTCGCTGCGCTGAATTGCCCAAATGTAATAATATAAGTTTGAGATGATGGGATTAATGAAGGAATAGCATCACATTGAGCAGGAGGAAAAAAATTAAACATCAGTGTTTGCTGCTGCTGGCATATTTCTAAGATAAATTTTGATTTTTGCGGTTTTACCTGACAGCGCGCTAATAAAGCCTTATAAGAGGAATTAGATGAACAATGCGTACATTGGCAGAAATAACGCCTTTTTTTGTGACTGCACTGAATTATCTTTTGATGAGAATAGAAATGTTAGAATATCAGAGAATATAAATGTGCGAATATTTGAAAAAAATAATCGAGTGGTATTAGCAGTGAAGGGTTGTCTTCGATGAAGCAGCCTGCCCCTTTTTTTTCAGCATGGGTAATAGGACGCCTTCCATTCTGTCAAAATGATCAGTTCAGACTCGAAGTTGCAGAAATAGTAAACATGCGGTGAACTAGAAGACCTTGTTAATCCTCTTATAATTTCTAGAGCTTAAAGTAGAAAGTTCGGAAGTGTTAGTTTGGTTTCGATCAATGTGAAGAACATAATTCATAAATAGACCATGATTAAATTGATCCCCTTGTTTATTTCAATTTTGGTCTGATTTGTGTTACTTTTAGTGCTCACACTAAGGATTGCCCCCAGTGTCACTCATGTATAGAAAAAAATGGAGGATGCAATCACATGCAATGTGCCAAATGTAAACACCATTTCTGTTGGATGTGCTTTGGAGGTATGTTCCCGATCAATATCACTAGTTTCGCCGATCCTTGTCGATGATTACTTCTGATCGTTTCTAAACCATTTTCTTTTTCAGACTGGAAAACCCATGGCAGTGAATATTATGAGTGTAGCAGGTACAAGGTTCGTTGTGAAAATACTGTTTAAAGAAAAAAGCCTCTTTTCTTGTGCTCCTATATTAATTTCGTCGAACATTGCCCTGAGTTGACTGTATTGACGGCATATTGCATTCAAGCATCAGGTCGGATCCGCTGTACAGCTTCAAGGTCGCAAAAGTGAGGCGGTGCGCACACAGCGGAGTGCTTCTTACTGCCGCACCAGCGATATCTAGGTGATGGGATCGGAGTCGGAAGACAGCGTTCGCTGTGAAGTTTAGGTGAAAGATGGCTTTTAGGTGAAAAGATGGCCGTCTAGAGGCTGATACGCCCTTTACGCGACTGCGTTCGTTAGGTCTGAAATCCCCTGCTGTGCGTGCGTACCAGACAGAAGTATCCAACTACATCCACATACATAGATCAGAGGTCTTCTTGAGAAATCGAAACCAGTCACGTCTTAATAAGTTTATTTTCAGCTACCCAACTAAACGCTTGAGAGCGTGCTAAAATAGTTTTCTTCTTTTTAGGAGAATCCTTCCGTGGCTGCTGAGGCTAATCATGTGAAGGCTCGGCGAGCCCTTGAAAAGTATCTACATTACTATGAACGATTTGAGAATCACAGCAAATCTTTGAAGCTGGAGCAGCAGTTCCGTGACAAGATCCAGCGGAAAATTGAAGCTAAGGTAAGGAACTTGACCTCTCGGAACAAGTGACCACTCGAAACAAATCGTTGTTTAATTTCATCGTAGAGGAACCAAGAGTCTTTCAAACTGTGGCGTTTCTTTGAATGTGGGTCATGCAAAAGAGGGAAAATATAATCATTTTGGGCAGATACGTACCCCCAATCAAGGGTTTTTAGTAAAACCCTAGAGCAGGGCGTATCTCAAAAATAGCTTAGTGCTGCCGAACCTTCATTGTCTTATTATCAGATGATTGAACACGGTATGCCACAGCATTGTAGCTTGCAGCAAGGTTTTCTGTTCAGGTGAACGATCATGATGGCACGTGGATCGACTGGCAATATCTTCACAATGCTGCTACACTTCTTACGAAATGTCGTTATACCCTACAGTATACGTACCCTTTTGCATATTTCATGGAAAACGGTGCGAGGAAACAACTAGTGAGTTCTTTAAAAAAGATTTTTTTTAGTTCGGTAAGACTAAAAGGTCAAGTTGTTCCATATTATATTCTCCCTCTGGATGTCTCTGAACTCGCATCTTATTCCATTAAGCTCTTTGTTAGGTTGAACGACAGCGGATGAACTCTTTGAGAAGGAACTGTTGGAATGAATAGTGGGATAAAGGGATAAAACTTACTTTCTTCGCGATTGTTAGGCTTTACAAGGAGGATAAGGATAAAGTTTCTGGCGTTAATCAATCCCGTGTGAGGGATGCGCCCCCGCACTCGACTTCCATTCAGAATCGTAGTGGCGTAATGAGTGCGTATGTGGCCTATACAATGACTTGCGGTGGCCAGCCGATCTACAAATCAGTGCTTTTATCTTCCCAGACGAATCTGGTACTAATTAACCGACCCCGGAGGGATGGAAGGCTTGGTTGGCCTAGGCGGGTATGGATCCGGGATTCGAACCCCTGATCGTACGTGTGAGATAGTGCGCCACTTGCCACTACATCACCTCCGCCCTTTTACAAGGAGGGGGGACTGCAAATAATAGGTTGATGCATAATCATTGTGGATCTTTCGCGGCTTCTTTTCTCTCGATGCAATTTCAATATTGAATTCGGGATCTGATAGAAATATTCTTCTTGTTTTCCTTAACAGAAATACGTCTAGAAAGTCATCTTCATATACGCCACATTATGCTCTGTTACTTCGAGAAAGGTTGGAAGGTGGCACAGTCATACAATGATCTCAACGAACTTCCCGGCGATGGAACCGTCAGCCAAACCCGAATAAGGAATGGAATCGTTCACCAGTTCACCCTATTCACCGAAAGAAACTGTGGATTATCATGTTAACCGTCCATTGGAAAATTGGATAACGAACAGAACTTTCTACGAAATGGTTGACTTGGTAGCCGATGTCAAGGCGTGATCGTCTCCCGGCACCGAAGGTTCTCCGCTCTAGAAAACCGACTGCCCAGCAACTGGGAAGCAGTGCTTGACGAAGATGGTGGATATGTTCCGGAGCAATCATTTGAACAATATTTCCATCGTTTCTTCATGTGAAAATTTGCTGAGAAAAATCCACAATAATCATGCATCAATCTAATGGAGTTATAAGGTTCAAATTGAACTAGACCGTGAAGGTAGTGTTGAACCTATTGACTGAAAAGTTCCAATATTTGTGCATGCCCCTCAGAAACACTTCGGATGAGTGGCTGGTCGCCGTAATTTCCGGTGCGTGCGATGGTCGCGTGCGACGAATTTCGCGCATTGTTGATGGTTGCGGTATCACTGTCGAAGATATTATCGGATCTCAAGTTCGTGATCCTCGCTCGCACGCGACTGCGTCGTTGCCTATGTGGTGTCGTGCGACCGGTATTCTGCACGCATTCAGAATCTAAGCGGCTTTTGTACGGCATACTGGTTTCTGTCGACTGTAGCATTTGTCATGTTTTATTGCGGTTTAAATGTGGATGTTTCAGTGTTCGCCAACTGAAATCGGCGTATAACGAGCCTGACCCCGTGCCTCGTTCGCCATGATTTATGGTGGATAGCGCAGAGCGCATACCTGTTGAGCCTCACCATCATGGGATAATCCAGGCGAGCGGCCGATAATCGGCGCTAATCTACCGCCGCTATCACCCCATTACATGATTAGTTGTCGTCGCCGCCACGGCTTGTAGCATAGATACGGTAGATAGGATGGTCTACTGGACGTTGTTTCGAAGTTATCAAAAAGTATACAGTATTTAAACGGGACCCGAGGAATCCATTTAAAAGTCGCCTATACCAGGCTTAGTGTTCCACCAACTCCAATAACTTTTATCTAATCTCATTCAAGTCCGAGGTTAGGTTCGTCTTTGGTGGAATATGTGATTCCTTTGGTAAAACCTATCATAGCCTCGATCGCCTATATTTGTGGCTGAGCGTCCATTGCACAATTACGTAGAAAAAAAGCTAAATATCATGACAACGCGTGGAAGAATGTGGGATTATTTGAATTGAACTAGATCGGAATACAGGCTGTATCAATTTCATGACTCATCTGCAGCTTCGATACTATCGTAAAAACCAAAATAAATAGAGGTTTTGCAGTTTGAATACCAACAAGCTCAGCTGGAAAAAGAAGTGGAAGAATTGGCATGGGCTGTGGAAAGAGCAGATTCGACAGCTAGAGGAGCTCTTGAAGCGCATATGCATCGAGCTGAACATAAACGCACCAGTCTTCTTCATGATTTCTTCTTCTGATTGTGCCTATTGAATGATTGTTGATATGGACGAGTTGCTGAATACTCAACCATTGGCGCAACTGTCCTTGTATGTCTTTGACGCGGTTTTGCTTATATTCAGATAACTGCCTCGATTAGCACTCGCCTTCCATCGGCTTTTCCGTTTTGACAAACTTTTCTTGCTCCAAATCTATGCAGTTATTATACATCATTTCTTTGCTGCGTCATGGTTTTCAGGCTTTTGGATAAGTCAAGCCATATGCAGGTGGCGATGAATGAACCCTTCTGTGGTGTGCCTCTAAAATTGTAAATAGTTGACCATCCATTCGGCTGAGTTTGATCCTTGTATAATAGTGAATTATTTAACCCCGTGTACGTTTGTGCATATGTATGTGCTCTGTGCCGCTGTGAAATGTTCACGATTTTATCAGCGCTCACTTGTCATTCTTGTTCTATTCCGCAGAGAAACAGTATAGTGCCTTATTGAACTCATTTCTGCACTCGCGTCACCTTCTCAGCCGTGATATCTGAGAGATTTTTAAACCTGATTATATGTTGTTCCTTCTAGGAGTTTTGTATTTTTCTTTATTGATTTGTTGAAATAGATTTGTATAAAGAGATTCCATTCAGAATTCAAGAAGTTGTTATCAGCCCAAGGGATGAGGATGAGGTGACTAAGTATGGGAAGAGTGGCGGCGGCGCCGAGTCCGGAAGGAAGCCCGGGACATAGTCTTATGTTATTGATTCCGTGTTATCCCTCTTACGGGATGATCTGCCAGGCAGTAGTCGCCAGCAAAGCACTCAGTATTATTGTTACTCCTCCCCTTGCTCGTGTTATCACTTCATAAAGCTAGACGTTTGGTCTTCCTCTCCTACGCTCTGCTTTTGTTAAGGTGCTTGGGTCTTGTTTTCCCCTCACATCCCAAGTTCAGAAGGTTTCAGCGGCGTCAGATCCTTCACGCTCTCAGCATGGGAGCGGGAACAAGGTCCCTGACCGGGGACGGTTCGAAAATTTTCACCCCAGGAGGCATTTTCACTAATTATCGGATTCCTTCCTCACACAAAGAGATTTGTGTGTAGACCTGGCCTGAGTTTCGATGATTTCATTCTGTTTACGATCGCGTTTTGGTATAATCTATATGCTCAGGTTCGACTTCATTCCCTACCCATCCCATCGTCTTACTGTTGACTATCGTCTGGATCTGCCACCCACCGCACTGGCCACTATGATCGTCGGCTGAAGTGGAGTCTGTAAGACGGTGAGTTGTGAGCGATTTTCGTGCGCCGTTCCCTCATGCATTGTTCCATTTACCTCTGCTGCCTCTTTCTGTGTACGTGAAGTGTGGGCGGTTCCAAGGTCTCTCCCCCACAGAGAGAGTATGCTCCCCGCCTCCTCCACCTGTCCATTCGAACCGTTTCTGTTCCACGACCTCCCAACGCCGACACTGTCTAGCCGCCACACGTTTGCTCCTTCAGGGTATTCATCGTTGAATATACTACTTTCACATGGCTTTTAGCCGATGTTCCCTCTTCACTGAGGAATCGATTTCGTCTAATTTCGACCTATTAACAGTCCGGTGAGTGGTTTTATGATCGTCGACTGTCACATAACAACATCAGTGATGAGTCATCGTTGAATAGATTTCGATTTCTCCCAATCATTTCATTCTGCACAACAGTGTGAATGGGAGCTGTGGAAGTGGCGGTGTACATAGCAAGGCTGTGGAGATCCCGAAATGGCACTGCATGAATTCACGGTTGTTCCTCGGGCCGTGCATCCAGTGGTTCCATACCGGGTCGCTGCCGATCACGGGGATTTCCACTCTCCACCAACACCGCCTACCTTCCTTTCTCAGATGTCATCCTTCTTTTTACTCATTTCCGCCTCGTCCATTCACTTTCATCAATCCGAAGCTGATCTTCCCTCCACGGAGACCAGTAATCAGGTTCTTCTCATTCGACATTTTTTTACAGTGACGTTTCCATTACGGATGTACTCCACCGGTAGAGAATTAGGGGAGGCTCGTTACGCACTAGTCACATTGGAAGGTGGTGAACTTCCTCTGAACAACTCTGCTAAGCTGGTGAGAAGGGCAGATCCGTGAAGATAGCTTCTTTCGCAGGATCTGATGAGGTACGGAAAGCGCTGATATTCAGAATTGCTCTACGCAATATCACAGCTGCCGTCACCACTGGCACACTCTGCCAGTCCTATTACGGCCGGTGCCAAACCAACAAAAGGAATCGATCTAGCTCGAACAGCAGAAAGTCAACAGTGCCGAATCCAAATACGGCGAACACACAAATGTACGGAAAACGATGACGATATACAGGAAGACTGTGCAGGAACCGTTCCCTGATCCTTTCTCTGCTGTGTTCGTTCTGTTCGATGGAGCGATTCGTTGAAATGATGCACTCTATTGTGTCGGGTAATGTTCGGGCGCATTTAGCACCATGTCGCCCTCCTAGTGCCTCCCTTTTGATGTTATCTACTCCTCTCGATCGACAAGTGTAATGCATGAAAACGACGACTTCAAACAGGGAACTAGCCGGTTGTACAAAGCAGACGGTACAGGCTTGAGGTGTAAGGATGAGTTATCAGTTCTGTGTTTATGCTTTTCTCTTACAAATCCTATCCATTTCGGGATCACGCCCAGGATCTCAGTGCGAATTCAAATGAGAGGTCTAAGAGAAGTTGATTTCCCATTCGCTCCTCCATGTTCATCCAGGGCCTATTCCTAGGCTGTTGACTCAGTTACACGGTAAGGGGTAGATGGTCTCACGAACTGTATTTGTTATTGTCATAGGAAGTTTACGAATGAGAGGGCGAACAGAAACCTCAGTGGATACGGTAGCGGATTGTGTGTGCATGTGGAGAGTCGATTATTGAATAGCGAAGGTGAAGAGTGCACGGTGGGGCATTGTTGGTACGGGCGACCTTGAAACGCCGCGTAATTATGCGCGATCGTAGACAGAAAACCACACAGGATCATACAAAGAGAGGTTACGAGGGACAGGACTGTGCTGTGTTGAGTGGAGAGATGGTAGCGGGCGTATATACAGAGGATCAACCAGAATTATACAAAGGGACGTGGCTAGGTTAAGAGCTGAGAGTTTCGGGGTTCCCAGTAATCAAGGTGGTCCGTCGGAATTAATCATGCATCCACAATGGCGAGTAATGACATACTGGAAGGTCTTCGAAAGAGCCCTGATCCGACCGCGGTCGATCCATAGCTGCTTTGACGGAGCTGTTCTTCTGCAGGCGTCGTGGGTTGTCCGACTTAAGTAAGATGTCAGTTCACAGTTTGAAAGTGCACTGCGGGTTCAGGTGAACGCCTTAGACTGAGGGTGACCCTAGGAGAGCCGCTAGCGAAGTAGGTCTTTCTAAGAGACTTTTCGTGCGAACACGGTAGAAGTACATAAAGTGAACGTGGTCGGATAGTTCACAACAGTCTGCCCAGGCAAACCTTTCAACTTCTCGGAGCTAGCCAAGAGGTACCAGGCGGCGCTGGAAAACGGCAACAGGAATATCAATCGCGTGCAGGTCATTGTTGGCACAGACTGCATGTGTTTCTCTTTGAGGACCTCTCAATCCTCAACAGGATTGGAGTGCGTGGTACCTTCCAGACTGAACGGTCAGTCGCGAATACTTAATATGTATTTTAGGAAGAAATTTAGGCTTAGACAGTCAAAAGTGCATACTCGGAGAGAATCAGGTTGAACTCATAGCCAAACAATGTTTTCTCTTCCACGGAATATTCTGGAAACGCTATCGAGAACCCTCGTCGAGCACCATCGACGTCCTTGCCCTGACTGTCCGACAACGCTGGCAAATTGACGCGAATCTAATGAAAAACTGTCATTATTGCTCACTGCCTACTGTCTGTTCTTTCGAAAAGATGAAAGAGTTTTTCCCTCAGAAAAACCAAATTGCGGTTATAGTCAGTTTTCAGAAAATGAAGAAGTTTGCTCGCTCAAATACAAACTTTCATCCGCTTGATCAATGTCTGTCCAACATGGGTAGTATCGCTTTGGAGAGGGTTGCCACTGAATGGTTTTCATTTAAAGGCACAGTTCACGATGATATTGAGGTACCCTTTTCAGGTTGAAAAGCGGAAGTGTTGATGTAGAGGAGTACATCGTTGCGAAGGAAGCGAGAAAGTCCGACTACTTCAAATTTTTCAAAAGTAGTGGAAGTGGAGGTTGTACGAGATCACTGCGGCAGCAATGGCATGTAAGGGGTTTTTGGACGAAATTTAACTTGCTCCCATCGTGCAAAGAGCTAACTACATCGAACCGTAACTGTCCAGAACTGCCTTTCACTGTCGCTATGGGTCACAATGAGTTGTTTGAACTTCCTACATGGATTCCCTTATGAATGGTGCAGCTTCTACAAAGCCGTTGAAACTCGCCACGATGGGTGTGGCATTCACACGATACAATCTCTGGTTTCTTATTGTGCCCTATCCAGGACGTTTTTCGCCCTTATACCGACAGGTGTGGTAGAGGGAGAGCCTCGAATTCATACTATAGGGGAATCTCAGAAACCATTTTAATCGTGAACTGTGCCTTTAACTGAAGGTAAACAGTCAAAAGTGATGTAGGTCTTCACAGTTAAATTGACTTGGAGTCTGGACCTATATGGGCAGGTAATAGTGAACTCTTTCAATAACTGGATGATCGTCTACCAAGTAATCTTCTAGAACAACTGAAAGTTGTAGTCGCGTGCTTTTATCGTCGCAATCGACCTCAGTAAAGCTGCCTACATACAAATGAAAGAATGGCTCCAAAGAGTAACGGGATTCGTTCCAGGAGGGATACTACTCGCTTTGCAAACTTAAATTAGTCAGAATCTTCTCAAGGGTGCAGTCGCACAAGGAGATTCCATTGGAAGGTCTACAATGAAACCAATTTCACAATGTCCATTTATTTTTGCTGACCATGGGCAGCCGTCTTCTAATCATTATAGCAGTTCGTTGGGGGAAAACCTGGCTCCCAAACAGCGCTAGAAGAGAAGGA